CAGATAGCCAAGTATAAAATTAGTTAGTTAAATGAATTTTAGAAATAAATATTAATTTATAAACTTTTAATTAGCAACGCAGCTTAGGTGCGCCAGAATACCCTCCACTCCCTTATGTAACCGGAAAAGCAAATTAACAATACTTAAATTAAAATTTTATTTTTTTTAATAAAATTAAAAAACTATTTTTTTTTTTTTTTTTTTTTACAAATTTTATATATATTATATAAAAACTATAATATATTATTTATTTGACTAATAAGTACAATAATCAAAAAAATATTCTATGCCTGCTAATATATGCCAAATTTTCAACCAAAGCAATGCTAAATTGAACTAAAAGTTTAAAATAGTTTTCATGATACAGTAATATATACAGCATGTATATATGTAACACTTGCAGATAACAATGTAGATCATGTTATTCAGTTAAAAATAGAACGCTTACTTAATCATCAAAGAGGTAACCTTGTTGTGATCAGGTTTTCGAAAGGGTTTACTGGATGACATGAAATATTCGAATACACTTACGTTTTAAAGAAGTTTTTTAACAAGATTAAAAAAAAAAATTCTATGAAAATAATAAATCTCGTTTTCATAATCTTTTTTTTTACGCCAGTTATTAAACTTGCCTAGAAGATTAGAAAAAAAAAATTTCTATTCATAAGTTTTCTCACCCCTTTATAAGTATGTAAATATTTTGAAGTTAGGCGTTTTTTAAAATAACGATAAAACGATTCTTATTTTAAACAGAACCAGTTCACAAACATAGTAAATCTATAAATTTTATAAATACAGATATCTATATTAGTAGGTTAGTTATTATGATATTAACAGATCACGGGAACCTTTACTACGGTAGTCAAATAAATGCCAAGAAAGTATGCACTTTAAACATTCTTTTTTTATGACATACACTAGATCAACGACCGTACAATATAGCTGTACAAGATATGTTGTATCGATTTTGTCTTTATTCATAAGCATTTACCTGCATATATCTTAATTATTGAAGGGCAGCAATCCCCTTTGTTATTTTAACCAAAATTATTTTAAAAATTATTTTTTTAGAAATTTAAATGTCTTTGTTAATTTGATTTGTGGTTAATTTGATTTGTGAACTGTTTTTTTTTTTTAAACATTTGATCATTTGAAAGACAAATGAAACTACTTAAGTACGTAAATTACGTACGTACATACGTAACTTAGCAGTTAGATACTGTACGTACGTACGTACGTTACGTACTTAATAAATACAATAAAAATATAGTATATTTTGGTGAAACATAACAATAACCAGTAATCAACCAAAAATAATTGGTTTATCATCATGCAAATGTGATCATTCACCAATTTTATTATGCTTGAGATAAACATACGTAAGCTGGTCATGAGGATAAAACATTTTTGATGACCATTATCATTAATGATTATTTTTAAAAAACTATGAATATTCTATATTTGACGTACATACTTACGTACGTACAGTACGTACGTGATTAGTCCTGATTGTTCAATCTTGTCAAAAAGGTTTAACCGATAATATGGCTTTGATATACCTGATACCGTAATACTTATTGAATGTCTATCTACGTATTCTCAATAGCATTAGGCTTGACAGGACACAGGTTATCCGAAAACCATTTCCAAATTTAGCAAGACCCGATATTACACATGTCTTTAATACTATTGGATTAACTTGACACGGGTGCTTAAATGTTTATTCAGTTAAGTGTTTAAAGTTCAGTGATTAAGTTCAGTGTTTTTTAGTTCAGTGTTTGGACCAAGACTGACTTATACGTAAAACAAATCTTTCAAAATTAGTGATAGTACTTAGGTACATACATAAACATTATTAACACATTATATACTTTCCCGGAATCTAATCGATCATTTCCGCCAGATTAATCACAATTGTGAATACAAATTCGGAATCAACCGGCATTTTATTTGTTTACGAGATACGAGCTATAAGTATTTGTATTTGTACTTCATACCTCAATAGGATTCCATAATAAGTAAACGATATCAAATAAGTACAAGTTTTAAAGATAAGAGAAAGAAACGATCAAGTTAGAAAATCTATTAATATAAATAAAAAGAAAAGTAACGTTGGGGAAAATTTTATATATAAAGATAGAATATTTAAAAAGAAAAGTAACGTTGGGGAACATTTTAATTTAGAATATATCTCTCTATACATATAGTATATAATCACACAAGGTAGAAAGAAAAAGTCTTGATTTTCTAATGTACTTTGCTTAATTTAGACTGCGGCTGAACTTAATTTTTTTCATTTCATGCGGAAAGTAGATTATTTTAGTAAATTTTCACTGACCAAAGTGATCGGGAGATTAGATTATTACCAGATCTGATCCTTATGTATCCTTATGTAATTAAAAAAAATGAATACGTAAGGGAAACGAACAAAGAAAGTTGAGCTGAAATTTAACGCTATCATTTAACCTGTAAGGATAAGGATATATGCTCATATAAATAATATGCACTGTATTAAAATTAATTATTATAATTATTATACGTATATTAAAATTAATTATTAAAATGTATCTTAGATATTAATATAGAATATTAATATAGAATATTATTATAGAATATTATTATAGAATATTATTATTAATATAGAATATTATATAGAATATCAATATAGAATGTTGTTATTAATTTATTCAGAAATTCAGAAATTCGATAACGATAATTTAATAAGAATAGTACAAATTCAGTTACCCGGCCATAAAAGTGATCAATCTAACAGTATACGGAATATCCTATTTAAGCACATATCACCTACAAAAAGAAATAACCTCTCTCCGTAAACAATATTACTATTAACGTTAAACATGAAACCGTAACTTAGATTACGATGATCGACTGCTTTTTAAACTATTTTTGTATCTTAAAATAATTTTAATAATTTTAATACTCGGTTTGGATATGTAAAAATAATAAAGGACTCAAACTTTATCATACCTAAAGTACGTATACGTACGTAAGTATGTATGGTATGTATGTAAGTTACGTACGTACTTATTTTACTTATTCTACTTATTATTTTACTTATTCTACTTATTATTATACTTATTATCATACTTATTATACTTATTATCATACTTATTATACTTATTACGTATTATACTTTATTATTATTCTACTTAACGTTAATCTCGTTCAAAATCATCAACATGTGATGAGAAACGATATGAATATAGATATTTCTTAATATGTTGCCAATGCCATTGTCTGTCAACTAACTCCGTCATTACTAACCTAAATGGTCTTAATTAGAATTTTAAGTAGTATAAATTCTTTGTAATAAATTTTTTTATATAAATAGAGAGTCATCAGAAGTCATCAGATCTGTTTAACGATAATAATTGCTTACCTCTTATGGAATTTATACAATAGTTTTTATAAATGAACTAAAATGGTTTTCTTTGTATGACATGATAATTTGCATAGAGAATTCCGTCCACATGGATTCAACGAAACACAAAACGGAATAATTGTTGGTCGTTAAAAATGACCCGAGTAGATATAATATGACTGGAACATGCATAAAAACATATTGAATAGGCTGAAAATCGAATAAATAAAATAAAATGAAATCTAAAATCGGCACGTAAGTACATACATCAAGCATGTCGTGTACGTACGTACATACATACATACATGAATATGTAAATTAAAGGGTGACTCATTTACACTATTTTGAATGTTACGTACGTACGTACAGTACTTTATATGTTGACTAGGAATGTGTTTCTGAACATTGCATAATATTGCATAATATTGCATAATGCAACTATATTAGCAACTAAACATACCTCGCGCATCTGTGAATCCAAAACTTCAAAATTTAGTAAAAGAATTGCTGATTATTTTCGTCAAACACTAATAAATGTATGTGTGTATCTAACGATTTATATATAAACGACTTATATAAACGATTTATATAAACGTTTTATATAAACGTTTTATATAAACGTTTTATATAAACGATTTATATAGAGCATTACTTGATTTTAATATTTTTTATTACTCTAAACAGTTATGATAAATGTAAACAGATATGTACAAAATATATTGTATTAAATAATCAACCTATAGTATAAATAACAGGTTAAAAATACTTGCATTAAAGCTTGAATAACGTAAACCGAAGAAACAAAAAAAAAAAATCAATATAAATTAAACAAGAACCCATTATTTGAAAATTTTCAGGTTTATTTTTTTTTCCATCCGGGACTGGAATTTTTTTTTTTTTTTTTTTCTTAAGTTTTTTTTTTTTTTAAATATACATCTTTTTTTGTTTAATATATTCATTTTTCTCTTGTTTAATATAATTTTAATAAACGATAGTTCACCCTCTTAAAAAAATGACTCAGCAAAAAGTGACATCATTGTATAAACCCCTTCATTTTACTCATTCTCGTAAAACTTCTTCACTATATAAACCCCTTCCTTCCCAATCATTATCATCATCATCATCATCATCAAAGTACGTTTCAACGACAATGACTCCTGACTGTTTTGCTGTAATACTGGACCATCTTCAAGATGATAAAGCAACATTATATTCATGTGTGCTGGTAAATCGATTGTGGTGTCGTCTAGCTATCCCAATTCTTTGGAGTCGTCCGTTTAATCTAGTTTCTCAAAGCAAATTAAATACCATAGAAAGAAATGCAGCACTTATAATATCAACTTATGTATGTTGTTTCTCTGAGTTGGAAAGGCAAAAACTTATAGATGAAGGTTTTGATCTACCTTTAAATTTTAATAATCCATTTTTCGATTATACGAGGTATTTGAAAAGCATGGATGCTGCAATGTTTGATTATGCTGTTCAACATTGGGCAAAGTTAAATTCACGTGGTAATGGTTGTTGGTTCAACATTACTACATACCTGGCAAATTTGGCTTTTAAACGAACCATAGGATTAAAAAGTTTGAATTTCACTCATATGAAAGATTTTTCAATAGATTCTTTAAATCTTTCATCATTTTCTGATACTTATCATGCACTATCTCAACTTTCATCTTTTGAATTTATCTATTATCCAACTGTTTCTTTTTTCAAAGACACAACAACTACTTTAAGTTCAATATTCTCTACCCTTTCCAAATGTGCAACTAATTTAATAGATCTTAAAATATCTATTAATAGGCGCTGTGCGCCTCCGATAGAACAAATATTCCTATTAATAAAATCACAGAACAAATTACAAGTTTTGAAGACGAATCAATTTTGGTGTTCAGTAGAGGAATCAGAAGAATTTTGTGCGGCCTTAAGTACTCAAGCAAAATCTTTAAGGTGGTTTGAATTTTCAGAGATTACTTATATACCTATGGATTTGGTTAGAGTTCTTATGTCTTGTCATCGATTGGAGACTTTGGAATTTCGTGGATTAGATCTTTTAAATCTTAGCTCTTCGTCGTCGTCTTCTTCTTCAAGTAATCAATATATAACAAATTATGATGATAATTTTGATGAATACAAATTGAATAGTGAAAGTTTACATGTATTTAGAAATTCCTTGCCTTCTACTGTAATTACGGTAAAGGATTATACAAAATTTGGACAATGTAAATCTCATCTTGTATGGTAATAAATAATCCTGTATAGAAATTTTCATAGATTCAATCTTTTTTTTTTTTTTATAACATTTAATATTTTTAATATTAATTTCTTTTATATATTTTTGTATAAAAAACATTTTTTTTTTTTTTTATTACTATACAAACATTTAACTAGTCTTTTGTTAATACCTTACTATTACAAATATTTAGCATTACTATACAAACATTTAACTAGTATTGTTAATAATTACTATTACAAATATTTAGCTATATAGTATTGTTAATAATTAAATATTCATGAACTATCTGAACAATTTTATTTAGGCACGTAAAGATTTTTTGTTTATCATTAAACATCAAATTTGTATATTTAAAAAAAATCGAGAGTCGTGTGCAGAACGATAAAGATGAAACTAATCGTTCAAAGTGAAATGTAGACACGTTCAATATAAAGTTACAGTAAATGTAGAAGTTGAATCAACATAACACTTTTTTTTAGATCTTATGATTTTTACAGGGAAAGTGAATCTTGAAGAATTATTAAAACTATACTTCTTTAACTATTGTCTGGATTTTACTTGGGTGTATTAATAAAAATGCCGGGAAGGCAATTCATACTTATATAAACATCATATCTAACCTTATCTAACCTTAATCTAAATTAATTTAACTCTAAATAATAAATTAATTTAACCCTAAATAAATGACATATTAAATTATAAAAGTCTATTCCGCTTTAGACATCCCTCTAATTAGTATATTCTCCGAATGAATTAATCTCCTTTTTCTGACTCATTCACAAGCCCCTAAAAACTTTGCGAAATAAGAATTTGCATTACGAGATTATTGTTTATTCATTTTTAATATTCTAAATTCTTTATAATTCTTAATTCCTTATAATCATTTATTATAATCATTTATTATAATTATTTATTATAATTATTTATTATAATTATTTATTATAATTATTATTTATTATAATCATTTATTATAATCATTTATTATAATTATTTATAATAACTCTTTATAGATTATTTTTCATTTGGCGTACAGTAAATGTGTACGTTATCTTAATCTTTTGACTAGAACAATTTTAGCAGGTAATTCACATAAGTACGTACGTAAATATATACATTACACAACAAATTTAGTAGAACCAAATATTAACAATAACAATGATTACTCGTTTAATATTATTAACAATCCTAGAATATTTAGTCAAATGACAAATACCTCAACTCATTAATTCTGTAATTCTTTATTATCGTCATGCCTAACAAGTTATATGTAATAAAGCAGGTTTAAAGTTTGAAAATCAACAAAATAAACGATAACCCTTTGAAAAAAAAAACAAATCGATACGAATTTGGATTAATTATTAACATCATTTTTCTTGAATTAGTAAAAAATCATTTACAAACCAATTACTATACTTGAACTGATCTGTAGAATATGACACTATTTTATCCGAAAAAAAAAGGATCTTTGATGAAATTTGCTACGTACAGTACACATATGTATTAAGTTCATTTTTCATTGGCATTTGTACGGTACATTGATAGCTTAAAATGTTACCATGTTTAACAATTTATTATTGTCATGAAAAAAAAACAAGATTTTTTTACGTAATGCATAACAACCATATTCCATGTTTTTATAATATTTACATGCCCGAACATATATTTAGATCGTGATATCAAAGTCAAGTTTGTACGAATACTTGAATATCACGTGAATAAATGCGTATCTATAATTTTAAAAAGTTTAAAGATTTACAGTATTTAAAAAATATTTTATAATATAACTGCTTACAAATATTTATTTGTTCGAAACTGAGAGTTTTAATTAATTTTTTTATAATATACTTGGCAAACATTGAAAATCTTGGCTAAAGCAATTCGGGCTGTTCAATTTGAGCGGTTAATAATATACACTGATATATATTAATATATATATGTGTGTATACGATCGAGATTTTCAGCCGTTTAAAGTATCGCTATCTGTGATATCAAATGTGGTCATGCATTGAACTATATGCACGAATTCACTTTCAACATTTCCTCCTTACATTGCAATATATGCATAGTGTCAACCATAATTAGGGGAAAGTTAAAATAGTGTTAAAACAGGTAAATGATTGAAACAGGTAAATGATTGATTCAAAGTTTATCCTATTTTCGTTTTAGTATATTTCAAATTTATGTATTGATATAGTATATATTATCCGAAAATGGAAAGGTTAATTTTCATTCATAATCCAACTGATATAGACCATGATTATTAAATCTTGTGTGAAGCTAGATTACTTTATACAAAAAAAAAAATTTTTTTTTGGCGTAATATCGTAATATCGTAATATCTTAATATTTGAAAAAGTTTCTTCTTTCTAGAAGGTAATGTGTGACCATACAAGTTTTTATATGTATATATGAAATACTACGCGTAACATCACGTATCCTTTTTTTTATTTATCATTAAAATAAAATAATTTAAGTTACAAATGTAGTAATAAACTAATACTAACCTTAAAGTTGAATTCATACATGGTTGCATTTGTGTACCTTATAATGTAAAAATTTAATTGGTCTATTCATTGAACTTTAAAAAAAAATATTCTTTATACAGTATGTATACTAAGGGTTTTAAGAGTAACATACAAGGATATCAAGTTCATTAACATTCATTTACTATATTAATAAAAAAAACAATTGAATTCTAATTTTTTTATAAAAAAACTTCCAATTGGTGACTTGGTTGAAACATTGATCACACAATATTATATATATATAACAAACATAGATCAAATAATCATATCCTTTTATATTGTCCGTATTTTCTAAAACTTAATTATTCTTAAATACTAACAATAATTGTCGGACAAGTTTTTAACATATATGACATGTTACAATTATGTGTTACTCGGTTTTGACAATCGGAAATTGATGTTGATATACCGTATTCAAAATACTCAAAATAAATAAATGTTACTAATTGTCACTTTGAACATAAAAAAAATTTCAAAACCTTGCCTTTTTAATTTACGTTTCAAAAGAACAGATCTTTTTTTTTCATGTTTAGCTCCCGGTGTAAATTCCTATCATTATACGTAACAGTACAGGATGAGCATTCTTACCGGATTTGAAATTTTCAATAGCTTCCAAATTTGTTTACTCATATCAATATCGATATAGAATGATCGCTTAAATACTCTAACGCTAACGCTAAGGGTAAAATGAAAAAAAAAAGCATTTAAGATTTTGTCTAA